CTCCTGCAACAATATTGAGTCATAAAGTCCATGAAGACGGTCCTGACGTCCACTAGAATGGACATTTATAAAAGGGCTGTTATTTGAAAACTTGAATTATTTAATTGCTTTCAGAACTAATTATATAGTTCCTCACATGTTAATAAACGAGAATATATATGATTTTCATGGTAAAAATTACAATTATTCAACAATATTTGACTTCTCCTGCTTCTATACAATTTTGTTTTTCGTATGCCAGCCATTTTGATGAAAAGAAAGAGGAACTTCCCAGCATGCGATTTTAACCAATGACATATCACTGGAAAGACCAGGATGTCCTCTGTACAGCACATCAGGTATTGATAGAGTAGCTCAAACGAGTAAAATGAGATGCATGTTAACAAAATGTCCACTACAGTGGACATTTTCAATGGGCTGGGTCCCAGGAGGATATAGGCCGATTGTTCATGCCCTTATTACGACCCAGACACGTTTTAAAGTGTATGTTGTTTCTTACACGACCACTAGAGGTGCTCTAGTGGTCATGGAAGAAACAACATGCTCCCGGCCCGTTCATTGCAAACGCTCCGGAGGGACGTTTATTCACAAATAACCCTCTCTGGAAAATCCTAAATTGTAGGATAGTTTGGCCATTAAAATGCTTTTTGATTAGATTTCTAGCGAGAAGTGTATATTGTACTTTTAGAATCCACGTCCAGTGGATGTGTAGGATCTATAGTTTGATAGATATTACGAAGATCATTTGAGGTCTCGCCAGGAGAACGTGTATATGCGGCAGCTTCCATGTAAAGTTAGCGTCAACCCTCACGGGGTGAAAACAGTATTTCCGGTCTCGAAGTTTTCATAATAAAACCAATGATCAAATGATTTTACAATGATATCTGCAGTACTCATCCACTAAAAAACATCAGTTTATCTTTGTTAATTACACTACATTAATTGGTTTAAATTGTGTACAATGCTTTTGTGTTTTTCCCATAGGTTTTTCCCTTTAGATTCTGAGAGACACATTTCTTTTTTCAGAGGTTTTGATTTTTGATTGCTAAAACATCGAACTACCCATAATCCTGAATGTTTTAGCCGCAATGCACGCCGTGTTCATGCGATATGAAATCGGAAAACATTCAAACAAATAATAATACTTTATTCCGAGTGTTCTTGCTTTTCTCTTTGGAAGTCATCACATAACGGCATTGTAATACACAGTTCGGCTGCATTCAATATTACACTTCTGCCGTAGTTCTTTATTTATAGAGCCCTGATTAGAAGACCTTTGGACAAACCGGAAGAAATGCAGCCGAAACTGAATGTGTGACGTGGATTATAAATATATCAGCAATTACACAACATCTTCAATTGCTTTTCACACAATACGTCTCCTTGCAGTATCAACACTAATTCGGCTGACTTTTATATTTCATCCAATTGGTAGATTGGTTATATTACACCATAAATTCGGTGCACAGCTGATAGAAAGGGACTTGTAGTTTTTGAAGATATTACTGATTTTCTTTGAATTAAAGAATGTAATATACTGAGTTGAGAGAATAGTCAGGGGTTTTGGGGGATGGGAGACACATCTATAGAATCACAATTTCAATAGCTGATATTATTATGTTTTTATTAACTAGACCAATGTTTTTTTAACCCTCACCGCCTAGTGGTTTAAAGCACGTTATTGAATTTTGATGTTGAATGTTTATATTTGATGAAAAATTAAAATATTAAGAGTAGTCTAAATACAAAATAGGGGAAAGTAGAAGGACAATGATAGAAATATAGAATAGAAAATATCAAGAAGATACTGTAGTGATCTCTACAATAAAACAGTTTAGTGCAGGACGTCCAAAGATATTAACAGGAGGATGTGCAAAACAGACACACTAATAAGACTTTATTTAAACATTAAAGAATACTTTAAGTTAAGGTCTTCTTTTGAATAAGAAAAAAACGTTGGGGGTATCAACAGATAAATATTAAGTCTGAGAAAGTACTTAACGTCTAATATATTGCATAGTTTATTTTGGCACTTGACAAGTGCTAGTAAATTGTCCGACCGGGCCACTTCGGTACTGGCCCACCGGGAAAACTCCCGGTATTCCCAATGACCAGTCCGCCCTTGCACCTGTGTGGTGACACTTTATCTACACTCAATTAGTGATTACAGTTAGCATGTCTTTTGATGTAAGGACATCTCCTTAGCAAATTAGTCACAATTGTGACTCATGGATACAATATAATTATCTCAATTTAAAAATAATTGATGAGATTGTTTTAATTAATGCTTTGCCCAACAGTATGACATGTTTTTGCCGCTGATATTTTCAAGATAATTTGTTGAAAGGATTATTTTTGCTTTTCATATCCGTAATTGCCTGTTGGCATGCCTGACCTACCGTGTTGACACCAGTCATACCTAGCTGCATTTTGACATCTTTTTAATGAGACTGTGCAATTATGTGGACTATAATTGTGCTGTTGGCAAAATAACCTTAACATAAAAAAAAGTATGAACCACCCAGCAGGTCTGTCAGAAACCAGCTTTCCCATCTCACCCTGCTGTGACCCTGGCTGTGTGAGCGCACAGATTACAGTGTGTGAGAGGAGTAACATCTCAGGTTTACAGCCAGACACTTGTCATTTTGGCCAGAATAACTTCTATACAGTATATCAAATTGAAGCTCTTGATAAAACCAGTTATCCTGTATCAAAACATAATTACCAGAATCACGACCAAAATCTAATTGGACAATAAAAAGTTGAAGAGGATTTTTGAGATGGAAAGACGAGGCTCTGTTGTACAATTCAAAAGTACTATGTGTGCCTTAAATGTGAATGTACAAAAAGAGCTGAGGAGGTATAAGAGACAGACAAACAGAGAGGAGAAATAAGTGTGTGTCAATGCAAGAAAGGTTTATTTAGAAAAACACATCACCTGATCACTATAGCCCATTGATAGTATTGGTTTGCCTCCTTCCTATATCAATTCAAAAAAGAATATTTTGGAAATAGAGTGTCAAGCCATCTTCACACTGCTCTTCTGGCACATGTGGAAGGGGGATAGTGAGAAAACAGGCCTGCATGAGAAGTAATCAACGCAGCCCACTATGATAGTGACAGCGGGGTTAAGAGAAGGGAATGGGAAAGAAGCTTTGTTTCTATGCCAGAGAAAATGAAAGCAGCTGGGGTATGTGCTGTGCGCTCTAGCCTAGCCAATATATGCTTGTTATCAAGTTGTGTTTTTATGTTGTGTGTGTGTGTGTGAAAGAGTAGGAGATGGGACACAGCAGGAGAGGAATGCGGTCATGGCTGTAAAGTGGGTGTGAAAACAGCCATGTTCACTGACCTCCAAACTGACCTCCCCACCCCTCCTCCCCTGGCAGTTGATAGTGTCCTGTGAGTGTGTGTATGTGTGCGCATTGCATAAAATGTTCGAGAATATGTGTGTGTACGTGATCATACTTGCCGGAGTTTGTGCCATGCTGTTTGTGTGTGTGTGGTTGTAGCATGAGTATGTGTTGTGATAGCTGTAAGTGAATGGCCCTGAGTTTACTATAGTCCAAGGGAGGAGGTCAAGAGGATTATCTTAAAATATTAGCTGCCCTTTCACCCCTTCCTCACTCCTTCTGTGTAACCTCTGCTTTTCCTCTCGTCCTGTATCCTTAATGGCAAACAGCACCTGTTGCCAGACACACACCGACACACCGACACACACCGACACACCGACACACCGACACACACACACACACACACCACACACACACCGACACACACCGACACACACACACACACACACACACACACACACACACACACACACCACACACACACACACACACACACACACACCACACACACACCCACACACACACACACCACACACACACACACACACACACACACACACACACACACAATACATACCTGGACAGATACATAACTTTTTTTAACTTGCCATTAGGGCAGGTCCGTATAAATGTGCCCAAAACGTCCTTCACATTGTATCGTATTAATTCATGTCACAGTTATTTCCGCTAGGGATTTCCCAGGTCTACTTCTCATTTTCTCAACTTTAATAAATCCTGCTTGTGAGCACTTTTTTAGCACCGATTTTAGGCGACGACAGACACGGTTCCCCTGGTGCACCCGAACTTGGATTTGTCCCCGGCTGGAGTCAGCTATCCCGCCTGCTCGCCACTGCGGGGCGTCGGGGCTTCGGGGTGGTGCCTTGAACCCTTTCAGCTCCCCGCAACAGGCTGTCACATCTACCGGAGCGAAGCCTGCATAGCCGTCATCTCCCAGCATTACGCCATCACACAGAAGGCTGTGAGGCACCAGCACCCTCCGCCTCTCGGTCTCTTATAAACTATAAACATGTGGGATATAAATATGACCTTTGGGGATTTTAATTCCTCACAATTTATCATGGACAAAACATTATTATTATTATTATTATTTTTTTAAATATTGGAAAAAATCCTTTTGAATTATTATTGTGTGTGGGATGCTTTATCCTTGAGGAATTGACAATCAATATCGTTGGAACGACGAAGAAACATTTTCAATGTCTGTACTGTATACAATATATGTATGCGTGTGTAGGCTATATACAATATGTATATTGTTAACGTCCAGTTTCTAATAATCTCATGCCTCTTCCTAGTAATTAAAAAAGCACGAACTGAGTTCAATTGAACAGAGAGCGTAACTGGAGTCCACGGTCTTCTGTGCTCCGCTGCGTCCGTTTGCATGTAATTAAATAGCGCCCTGCGCACTTATCGGTCGCATCTGACAGTGGAGTTTCCAAAAGCTGTCCCTGTCCAGTGCACCTCTTCCCCCGTCCCCTTCCAGCTCTACCTCTCCGTAATTAAATTAGCTCGGTTTTAGGCGGGGGAGGGGCTGGGCTTTGTTCAAGTGACGCCCATTCAAATAATTTCAAACCAATGGGACTATCCCCCGCTCCGCCGTAACCAAACCCACTCTCAGTCGGCGTCTGGAGCTGCCTGCCTTTGCCCTCACCTTCCTGCTTGTCCCGGCGTCTTAAACCCAAACGCAAAAAGAGGAAGACTACACAGCACGCACATGGGAAAAAGCTATATTTGTTTTTCACCTGCACGTCGCACGATGGCTTATATATGAGGAGGACACTTTGGGATGCGGACATAAACACGCGTCTCCACGGAGAGAAGCGCATGAGAAAATACAACGCTGTCCGTCCTCTCTCGGACACCGAGAAGGACTCCTCCCCACCTCGGTAGTGACACCTCCGGTACATCGCCGAAAAAAAGACAAGTGACTTTTTTTTACGCTGGAGACGAAGGACCGTGTCTAACATTACCATTGATCAGCCAGTGATTGACTGTATGGCTTTAAAAAGTTGCATGGAGAACATGGACATATGACGTGCGCCACACGGCGTCATTGGACACACATAGGAGCCTCTCTCTCTCTTTTCTTCATCACATCTTGGAGTGACTAATCCCCTGCGCTTTGGGTTGGGAGTAAGCAGAAGTGTGCAGCAGTTGTCATTTGCCCTGACACAGGCTACATCCAGTAGCTCCCTGCATAAGGGGAACGTCACCACACCACTGAAGACACAGCCTGTTGTGCTGCGCATTTGTGTGTGCTGATCTCACTGTTTGTGCATTATTGGGAGATTTATTTCTGATAGCCCACCACGGACTTGTCAGAGCTGACATCTTGTTTGACATAAAGACTGTCATTCACCCGGACCCTCGACCTGCATCAGAGATACGGCACAGTGACACGTAGGTTTTGTAACTTTACATTTTGAAAAGCCTGAACAAGTGTCCTCTCAAGTGCCCCCTTGAATGATCACATTCTCGATTTTCCCTTTTCTACGTGGTGCGCATTTGTACTTTGTTTTAGCATTCACCAACAGCGCCAGCAACACATGTGAATGAGACTCATCACCTGTCCCGGTTGAAGCACCCCGTACAACTCGACTGACTGACCGACCGACACTGAAGAGGAATACGTGCCGAAGTTCCGCTGTAGTGATGCTGCAAATGGAACTGGTCATCTTCTTCTGCCTGGTGCTGTTGACGTGTGTATTTAGCCAGGAGCCCAGTTCCAAAGTGGTGGCGGACCGCTATGCCGTCTTCTGGAACCGGACCAACGCCAAGTAAGTGCCCTCACCCGGCAGGTTTTCCGCGGAGAGTCGGCGATGTTCCGTCTCCTCGCATCTGCATGAACCACGGGGTTCTCATGTTTGCTAGACCTCATCTATGTTTATTCTCCGCAGTGGGGGCATACTGCCAGTAGCTGTATAGGTACATGCTATAGCTAAGGATAGGAGAAAAAGAGTATAAAAGTATACTGTTCCTATACGTGGCGGCTCGTTATCAGCGCGTCCCTCAGGGTAATATAGAATACACTCGTTCGTATAAGGCCTGGAATTGGAAATAACATTCATCGCCTGGTGTTGCACCCACTGTCAATATTTACAAAAGTATATTCACCAAATTTGAGTTATTCTAGCTTTAGTGTCGTGTTCAGAGCTGTACAATTACCCTGGAGCTTTATCTTGTGTTGTTTCTCTGTCCGGCGGACCCAGGCCGGGCACTTCTTCACACATCGGAGTCATTATAAACTGAATTTAACTCGTTTTAAAACAAGGCTAATCAAAACATAATCAGCACAAAGTTAATTCAATATGGCAATTCATTAACTCACTTCAGACTATTTAGGTATACTGCTTGTTTCAGAAAACTTAAAATCTGTAGGCCAAACGTCTCAGACCCGTGCAGAGGACAGCTTCTGTAATTCGGTGTTTTCTTAGTTCATGTGGCTTCATCAAACTACTGATAGTAAATGTAGTCAGAATATAATGTCAATATTGAAAAGCTCCTTCACGAAATTCAGTAAAATTGCAATAATGACATTGTTTTTATAAAGCAGTCCCAGCACAACTGGAATATTATAAAAGCACCATGGCCGACAAATTACACGAAATGACAAACTCGTCTTTGGGTAGGCTGAAGGCACAGTGGAATATTATAGGGATTTTTTTTTACTAACTATTAGTCATATAAATAGTTATTGAATCACTTTTTATGTGACAATTTTTTTCTTTGAGCAACATTTTATTCATTTTAGTAAAGTTCAGAAGATAACATAATCGTTTTGGTGCAGCATTTTTATGGTTGATCAAGGACATTTTGAAGACACTATTATAAAGTAAATGTTTTAAATTGAATACAATTCTGGATCATAAAACCCACTGAAGCTTAAGTTAAACTGTGAGAGGGTTTTATTCCACTTGAAACCATATAGACTTTACAATTATAAGCTTTCACTCTGTACAAGTGGGCAGCTTCATGAATCTGAAATTAAAGTTTTCCTTAAGCTTCACACATTCATATTTCATTTTGCATTTTGTTACTAATTCATTTCCAGAGGCACGTACAAGTCATATCCTGACCTATTGTGTCAAAAAACACTAAAATACCAATCATTTAAATATTGTTACTTTTTACAGAAATAAAAGTGCATCCCTTTTACTTTTTATTTGTATGAATAAAAAGTGTGCGCTGAACTTTTTTAGTACACTCTCAGCACTGTTCGTAGTGAAGTGGGGATTTTACTTGCTGTGGACGGGCCACTCAAGAGGACGTTAAGAGTTGAAATAAAAGTTCCTTAGTTCCTCTGCTAGGACAGGCTGGAGTCCGCCTCAGTGTTTAGTGAACATGTTTGTCGCAGTGGTATTACCTTCTCAAAGTCCCTGATAGAGTCAGACTGTTCAGCCTTGTCCCCGGCTTATTAAGTCTAAACACTGCTGCGGGAGGTTACAAAGATCTTTCACTCAACTGCCAACAGCACTTAGTATTTGTTGAATAAAATCCTCAGCTTAGCCTCCAAGTGTGCACAAAGCCATTAATAGCACATGCTGAATTTGTTGCACAACTATTTATATTCAGTTGGAAGTTTCAGAAAACAAGATTTATTGCTTGAAGCAATTAGTGGTCAGAGGTACAAACGGAGGGCTGACTGTAAGCCCTCTCCTGAAGTTGGGGCCAGTGTAGCGGGGTGCGTAGATTCTCGGCCTGATATCCCGTACACCATGACTGCTGTGGTTCAGGTCTTTATTCTGGCTTACCCCGGCTGTTTATTTACAGACCACTTTCTTCAATAGAGGCAAACACAACGTTGCGTTTAATTTAGATTCCGGCTGTTGATAGACACACTTTCATTAGACATTACATTTTTCTTTAAACAAAAAAGTTTTGACTTGACTGCCTGCTCACTTGATATCTTCCAGATGTGCTGACAAGTTTTCTCAGCTTCAATGAAGGAAAAAAGTGTAGTAAGAAAAAAAAGGGAAATTGGAGTAAATCTGTTAATCTCAGATATGACAAACTAACACTAGAAGAGAGAGTAGAGCAAACACCAACTTTGTGATTCACTTGGCTGCATGCACGTTGTGTCTCTTACTCTCTTTGCGTCCCAAGTCAAATCTGAGAAACAGATCGTTTCCTGAGCCTCATCCATTTCTGAAGCCCTGACTGCCCGAGGAAAGGAAACTGGTTTTCACAGAGGCTGTAGTGCTGCTAACACCAGTCACTCCGTTCTACTTACTCTAAATAGACTTTGTTTGACTCTCACCCCTCTGCAGTCCTGAGGCAGGAAGCCAGGAAACTAACACAACAGCAGGGAGGAGACGGAGAGAGTGAGAGATAGCAAACTTGTCTTATTGATGACTCAGTTAATACATATTGAATCCCTTTCCTCATGCATTACTGTAAGGAGCTGGTGTGGCACTGCAACGTAACTTGCCCACGTCTGCCTTTGTTCTAGGCTTCACAGTCACTCCGAAAGTTGGGCTGCTCCAAGTATTTACTGTGTTAACGCCCCAATGCACGCACACAGGCACATTGTCATAGTTTGTCATTCATTATTTATAAATACTAATTGCATAGTGTTTTATTTCTAGTTTGACTGGCTCTTTACATTTGTTCTCGTTGGTATCTGAACACAGTTCGGAGATCATTTTACTACTGCCAGAAAAAGCCATTTGTCGCCCTTCAATTTTCTGCATCTTTCACAACTGCAGCTTCTGCAGGCTTTACAATTGCTTTAGCTAGAATATTATCCATCAAGCTAAAGCTGTAGTTTCAGTTTAGGTTTTGTCACAAAAATCAGTTTTCTTTGAAACCATTATGCTTAAGTCGGATATTTTACATCAGTGCTTGCAATACGTTGTGCACTGCTTACTAACTTAATCACCTGGAATTCAGTGAGAGAAATTAAAACCTTATTATGAAAATAGTTACTAATGCAGCTTTACTCACAAACTTTGTTTTCCTATATTTAATTTAAATACAAAATCATTTTTAATTATAGAATTTAAATAACAAATGATTGAAGAAAGTAAGCTTAACCAGACAAAAGTAGTTGATTGAGTCAATGGTAGACAGAACCCACTGGTGAAGCCACTTTTACAGCTTAGATCATCAGTAGCATTGAACGGGGAAGTCTGCCTTTAAACCTTTTGTAGCAAAAATGTTTTCGCAGGTAAGACCTTCATTTATTGGTTTTTCCAGTGGTCAGAATTACAAGCAAACTGGAAGATTAGTGTTGAATATTTTGTTTGCTCAGTGTATCGTAATTTGCGTTCTGTTGCTGGGTCATTTGGGTCCGGGGCTGAGGGGATTTCCATTTTGTCCTATTGGCTTCAGTCCACTGTTTTGTCACAACTTTAGCATGAGACCAGAAACTATATTCATTTTAGGTTTTGCCCATCAAAAAAAGTTATTTTGAGGGAAACTTTAGAGAAGTCCGGGACTTCTAGAAGTTTTTATCAGTCCTTATTCCTACAGCTTGAAACTATTTAAAGTGCAGGGATATTTATCCATGGATCCTGCCCTCTGCTTTCTCAATGACTCTTCGCTTATGAGTATTTATTCTACTATGTGGGGGCAGCTAGTTTCTCTAATGATGTCTCAGCTGTAATGCCAAGAGATGGTCCTTCCTTTTCTTCTCTTCTGCCCTTACTTTTTCCCATATCCCGCGTTGCCTCTTCTTCCATGTGGCCTCTCAGCGCTCCGCCTCTCCCGGTCTCTTTCTCCCGGTCTCTTTCTCTCTGTCTCTCTTTGCCGGGCGCAGATTATGAATGAATACAATTAAATACTTCGGGAGTCCCTCCACGGTTGATGGTGGAGAAAGACGCGCAGAGGTCAGGCAGACTCAGAGAGGAGCTCAGGGAGGGGTCACACACATATAACGAATAACGACACGGAATAACGACACGGAATAACGACACGGAAAGTTGGTCTTTGAATGACAAACTAACTAGAACTCTCCTTGAAGTGCAGAGTGTTATTAACATTAACAGTCCGGTGCGGTTGTGGTCATGCAAATCGCTCAATGTAATTTGTATTTTAGTGCATCACTTGTAGCTCATCAAACAGCCTGGAAAGCATTTTTCTAACGTGCTGCCTTTCGTTGCATTTTTTACGTTTTTATTCTTACAATGTACTGTAACTGGAGGCCTCTATTTGTGTCACTGGTATCAATGGCAACTTTCCTTTATTGCAGTTATGTCTGGCTCAGCTTTGTCTGTGCATGTGAATGTTTTTTGATTTAGTGTGTGTGTTTGTGTGTGTGTGGGTGTGTGCATGTGCATGCAACGTACCAAATGAGCCATGAGGTCATATAGGGCTTGTTTCCTCTCCTTCAGACTTCAGATACCAGAATAATTACATCTTTCTCCCTTGGTCTTCTCATTACCTGTCACACACCATTGGGACATGAATAGCGTCAATCTGTGCTTGCCTGTGTCTGTACGCGGGTGCGAATGCTGACTCTAACAAAGGCTTGTACGCATGGTGGTGGAAAGGTAGTCAATATACCCATCTGTCTCTAACAGATATGAAAATGATATATTAAATGAACACTTTTTGATAATTACATTTCTGAAACCTGGGATTTTTAAGATCGAGTTTGTGGGTCGTTTTGGACCGCATGCTAGGTTTTCCTGTCCCCCTTTGCCTTGCTCGGAGCTGTGTCTTACTCATTCCTCTCTTCTGCTCTAACTCTCCTTCTCTCTCTCCGTCTCTCTGTCTGAGGGCTGATTAGTTCTTGTTAATGACCCCTTGCTCTGTCATTCTTTCATGCTCGTGGCAT